GTTTTCAGAGGGTCGGACGAAAGACTTTCTCAGCAATCTCGAGCGTTTGGGTCCAAAACTTCTCGGCACAGGATCGAATGAAGTTGGAGGTCCCGCGCTTCTGATCGCCGAAGTTCTGAAATGTCCGACGACACCTGAAGACGATAATGAATGGGAACTCATTAGCGGTTTGTCCACGCCGTACTCAATCTTCGAGGATAAGAGACAACCATTCAGTAATGCAACAGACCATCACGGATGTATCTGTCCCAACAACTTGAATGTGGAAGTCCCAAGACACTCCCGTTGTCTGCCTTGGATGATTTACGCACTCGATTCATTCGTTTGCTTCCGTTTTGTCTTCCTGAATTTGTGATCAACACTGCTGGAGAAAACTTCGAATGGGTGAAAGTTGTGCGTCACTCGTTGGGAATAGAGACGCGAGGTTGTCAGACAATGGAAGAATGGTCTTCTGCTGAGTTGTTTGTCCGTTATATTGAAGTGACGTACGCAGTCGAGTTCCTTCAAGTGATCTTTCGTCACTTCAAGTGAATCTTTCGTCATCCGCGGATTCTTGGTCAATTGCGTCTCTTGGCTGCAAATACCCTGGCAACGGATTACAGTTTTGATTGGGTTCTTAAAAATCACTTGTGTACGGATCACCTCGCTCTTCATGAGTGTTCTAGGGGAGTCCATTCACGACAAATATTCAACATTGAGAGATTCGCAATACGCCAACAAAATTCTGCTTCACTAACTTTCATTGATGTATCGCTCTCACATCAATATTCCGGCAACTTCGCACTAGCGATTCCAAAGGGAGGCCATTTTTTCAACGTCTACCAGAACCTCACAACTCTTGCTGTTCGGTTGCTTCCTCTCAACTTAATTTTGCGTCAGGATCGCAAAATTGCGGGCATTACGAAGAATTTCGTTGAACTGAGGAACAATTTGCTCGAGACTCTTCAGGGCCATGAGATCAATCCCGCTAGACCCGTTCAAAAGCCCATCGAGCACTCGTTACCCTTCCCTGCTCCAATCGTTTCTGACTTCCGACACCATCCCCCCCCCTTCTCTGATTTTGGCATCTCACTTTGATTCCGCAGTTTCTTCGCCTGGAGCTTCTGATGCTGGATCAGGAATCGCAATCGCGCTTGAAGTCTTCAGAAATGTGTTGCATCGTAGGCGATCTGTTTCCCTTCTTCGGATAAACTTCCTCAATTTGCAGGAAAACAATTTCGTCTTCGTCGACCTCTTATGTTGGTTTTCAATGGTGATGCACTCAAGTCATTCCCACTCAGATCTTCATTTTTAGGTGGAGAAGAAAATATTCTTCCAGCAATTCATGGATTCATTTTACATCATCCTTGGATCAATGAAGCGACAGAAGTTTTTAATCTCGAATCCGCAGGGTGAGAAATTCAACTCACCACCATTTATTTGCTTCTTCAGGAGTTGGGGAAACGAATATCTCCTTCGAACGGGCCACCACAGCGAACATCTCGTTAAACTTTACAAAAAGGTTGTTCTCTCTCAACCACTCACTGCTAGTTCTCTCGCTCATGAGGCATTTGAAGCTGGAATTGTTCCAGGACTCACGGATTTCCAGTGAGATTGCGATCAATCGCTTGCGTCACTTTCTGGCTTCTAGATTCTTTCGTGATTTGGCAAATCTGGAAGGGTTTGATTTCGCTTTTGGGACAGGTGGCTATTATTATCACACTCCTCAAGACCAAATGAGGAACATCCAGGCTGGAAGCATTCAGCATTACGGCGTGAGTGTCGGGCATTTACGAAATCCTCAATCTCGTTTCAACAGAATACGGTGTCAGCATTGACATTCGCAGTATTGGGGGAATCTTCAGACCCCGCTACTGCAAATCTGACTGCAAAGCAAATTCGAGCGCAACGCAAGAAGATGCCTGAGATGCGGGATGGTTTCCTCGTCATTTTGGGACGTCTGATGATTATCACCCCAGCAGCTATTCTTCACTCTCGGAGCCTTCTATTAGCTTCTCTCGTTCTTCTTGTGGTTCTGTACAGAAGGCAACAACGAAGCGGAGGCCTCCCCTTTATCGTTCAGATGCTGCACCTCGCCGTCACAACAGCTGTAGCAGCTGCCTGCAATGCTGCACTAGCGTGTAAGGAAATCTCTACCAACTTTAATTTGACAACGTTTTTTTCGCTTCATTTTCTTTGTTTTAGATGCGCTTCATTTTCTTGGCTGGGACATGACATGGTTTTCGGAACCTGGATTCGTTCCCCTTCTGTTCTCTCCGTTACCAATTATCGTTATTTTTGAATCAATGAATTTCGTAGCCAAGTGAGCAGGACCGACGATTTCGTTTGTGCCCTCTGATTTCTCCTTCAGATATTTCGATAAAAATGAGGACCCTGATGTTGCGGCATGGAAATTAGAATCTGGTTGTTTTTTATTCACTAATTTTTTTTTGGATCGGGCTCTTTGTTGTCTTTTCAATATTGCGTAAGTCCCAATAGCTTGTTTGTAATCAACAATGTTCTTCTTATCAAAGGGTCTCGAATCGCCTGCATTCCATTGTTCCAATTTGCTGGTCCCCTGCTCGGGAGAATCGTTGGGACACTCCTTCAAGTTTTCCTTCACCGTCCCAAATCTTCAAGAATCGTTGTGATTTCAGCGCTCGTCGGCCATTTCATTGCCCTCTTGATCACATCGCAAACTTACGTGGCTCTTATCGACCACCTCGTCCCAGTTTTTGGTAAGTGAACCTTCAACCTTCTTCAAAACATAACAACATTTCAGGTCGCGTGGCCCCCCCTGAGGTTCCAGATGTCTTGCTTTCAGCATTCACCGTCCTCTTCATCGTCTTGCAGGCTTCTTTTGTCTTCTTTTGCTCCTTCTCCAGGATTGTCTTCGATAGACAGGCATTTCACTTCACCCGTGGCTTGCTCTTGTGCTTCTATTTGCCCCTTTGCCTGTCCTTCGTTCTCTCTCACTCGCCCTTCACACTCAAGACTCCTCAGCGTTTGGACGCCATTCACTTTATTACAAGATCTTACGGTCTTCAAGGCGAAGTGCTTCGTGCAGAATCTGGCTTAACGTTACAAGCAAGTGACGCTCTTGATATCTCGCCCTCTCTGCTCAACCGATTCGAAGATGTTCTTCGCTCGGAGTGGCGAGTCCCCAATTCATGGAGCTTCTCATGAAAACTCATTCCATCAGACCCACACTTCTCTCAACAGAACTGGAAACTTCAAACGGTTTGATGTTCAACGAGATCTCCTCCATGAATTCTTCCGGTACGAATTCACGATTGGAGATTCTTTCGATGCGTTCCTTTCCCCAGATACCCTCAAGGCGCCGTGATCAGAAAATTCGCTTCTCCACGTATCCACGTTTTCCCAGATCTCGCTCCTCCCTTTTTCGATCCCAACGCCAATGATCTTCTTTTATCAGACACTCCAATAAAGGCAGACCCTTCCTGGCAAGTCACTCAGCCTTTTTTTCTCCATCCCGATGGTCCCCCTGAAGTATTCATCGCGTCATCAACCACCGCAACTACGCTGGAGAGTCGAAAACAATTCTGATGGGACGCGAAGGATTCATCTGAGAGCTTTCGTTTCTCAAAGAGGGATAATCACTATTCCAGCGAAAGTGAGTTATTCCTTCGATGATATAAGATCTATCAATGTTTCTTAGCAACATATCACACGGTGGTCTTTGACTCCCGAGTTAATCCTGCCGAGAGAAGAGTGCGATTGTTATGGGGGCATTTTCGGCGGTAGGGTCACCCGTCAATTTTTGATTTGAATTTCATTTTTCCAATCAGCTGGAGTGGCCTCTCCAATGGGTTTTGAGTTCTGGGTCGATGTTGCAAAAACCCAAGAAACTCCATTCACAATAGGAATCTCAGCAAACTATTTCGATGTCACCACCCCCACCCCTGAAGAAGGTTCTGTTATTCGAGAAGGAGTTGGAGGAAGAAGGTGTTTTTTCTCTCGACGACAACATCGATTGGCGAATTCGGTTATTGGCGGATTCCTATTGCATCACATCAGTCGACAGCTCATTCCTCAGCAGATCGTCCACATGAAGAGCTTTGAGACTCCCAACAATTTTTGTTAATTTTTTACTGAATAAGTTGAGCTTCCTGTTTGTTGAATGAGTAGATTCTAAATTTTTTCAGATTCTGTGGCACGAACAAGAGTCGATACTGGATTGGCGTTTTTGAAAGGGCCAATGCACCCTGAATCAACGACGTTCGTTTATTCAAATACAGCTCTCAATCGCAGAGGATATCGAACTATTCAAAGATCATGATGAAACAAGGTTTCTGATGACTGTCAGATCCACGTCAGATCCCATGAGGTTTGATTTCTGGAAAACTTCTTCCCATGGAGCCAACAACGTATGACTGGTCATTACCCGTTTACTAAGTGGAATCTTGAAGATAGACAATTCGTCTCTTTCTATTGACTAGACATCCCTTTAGAATTATTTTTTGTGGGGCATCTCTAATTCTGAATTATCAATGAAATGGCAGCCCCAACCGCACCCCTAAAAAATTCCATGGACGTGAAAGCTTGCACCACAATGATTGACGTCAACAAGTTCAGCAGGCTTTCTGGGCGTGAGATAACAACAGCTACAACGGGTTTGACCGGGCAGACGCCAGGGAGCTGGCTCCATACCTCAGGACTCCAGACTTCAGGATTTCAGACTTCAAGACTCCACAGTGCAAAACCGCATCCTCTAATTCGCTCAATGAACGGTAGGAATCATTTAATTCCGTTATTCAGATGCGCTTTATTTGCAGATGTCAAGGTCCTTCACGAAGACCCTTCCTCAGTCAGTCCATTATTTTTCCAAGCTCTGCTCACGTCTTTCTGCAGTGGCTTCTCTCAGCGGACACACGCGACGCTTCTTCCCAAAGGTCTCCGAAATTGCCTCATCGGGAATCGATGGCGCTGCCAGAGAAAAATCGGAAGTGGTTCATTCGGCGACACTTATATTGGTAAGATTGCTGAGTCATTGTTTGATGATGGGTGTTGTGTTGTCAGCTGTAGATGTAGATACGAATGCAAAGGTGGCGATTAAAGCGGTAAGTCAGAATATATCGCTTCTGATTCAATATGTGTGTCTCAGGAATCGGTTAGGGCGAAATTTCCTCAGGTCCTTCATGAAGCCAAAATCCTCGGACAGATGCAAGGACACAGTGAGTAAAGGCGTGTTTACTGTTCACTCCTTTGATTCTCAGCTGGATTTTCCTCGCCTCTATTACTTTGGAGTCCATTCAGCGGAATATAATATTCTTGTCATGGAGCTATTGGGACCAACACTTGATCAATTGTTTTCATATTGGGGGAAGGGACCTGTTCAGTTTCCTTATGTTACCTCCGTTGGAGTTCAGATCATCAATCGATTGGAGGCTCTTCATAAACAAGGATATATTCATCGTGATGTGAAACCAGACAATTTTTTAATCGGGTTGGAGTCAGAAACGACGAAAGTGAGCGAGTTATGAGATTCCGTTTTATGATTGTTCATTTCAGATTTTCATCATTGATTTTTGGGCTTTCCAAGCGCTACTGTGATGCAAAGACGGGCGCGCACATTCCATACGCTGAAAAAAGATCTCTTACAGGAACGGCGCGCTATGCATCTCTTAATGCTCATAAAGGAGTGGAGCCATCACGTCGGGATGATTTAATATCTGCTGCTTACACACTCATCTACTTCGCGTCTGGTAAGGGCGAGTCATCGTGTTTTTGTTTTGACTGTTTTGTCGCTAGGGTTACGATTGCCATGGCAAGGGCTCAAGGCAGCAACAAAAGAGGAAAAATATGCTGCAATCACCAAAAAGAAGTCATCCACTCCTATTGATACGCTTTGTTCGGGGCTTCCAGGTAAGATAAGATTTTTCGTTTTGTGGCTCAGTATGTGTTTCAGATGGTTTCAAACTGGTTCTCAAGTATTGCAGCAGCCTCAGTTTTGATCAAGACCCGAATTACGATTTGCTTCGAACTCTTCTGGATAACACAAACGTGAGAAAGCTTTCAGTAACGCGATATCAGAAGTTCCTATTCAGGGAGGAAGTGGAGTGTTAGCAGCGCCAAAAAGGTTCATGTCCCGAGATTGGGACACGACACTTAACAAGGAATCAAGGCCAGTTCCCGCTCCAACAGGCGAAGACGCTAGGAGGTAAGTCTTTCCCCGAACCGTCGTTCATCGATGGCCTCCTGCTTCTCCTAATTCAGGAATCGGGCAGAGCGTCAGTCCAAAAAGGCACTGGGAATCTTTTGTTTGACTTGCGTAAGTCGGAAAAATCTGGTTCTCTCGTTGTAGCTTCTGTTTTCAGGTTCGTCAGGAGAGCCTCTAGCGTTCATCCACCACAATCAGTTTTTTGATTTCAATCTGTTTAGTTCTTTCACTTTATTTCAATCAAGACACGGGTGCTTTGATTGCAATCGTTATAAAATTGCACGTGCAAATTAAACTTACGGGAGACACGAACAGAAACTCAAAAAGTAGTTAGTTACCACAAGTGACTATAAAAAAAATTGCCTATCCCGATGGGTAATTCGTTCTGAGTTCTCCCCACAGCCTGAGAGTTTACACTCGAAATCAGTAGCCACTGATTGTGTTGATCTATGGTCTTACTTGAATCAACGTTCCTAGAGTTTCTGCCTCAAGTCTCTTCAAACCAGAAATGAACTCATCTAGCGACAAAAATTCTCTTCTTCTGAAGAATCACAGAATTTGTGACTTGGGCCAATAAGTTTTTCAAATACCTGGATTGTCCCATAAATTCGATAAAGTGGAGGATTTGATTTGGATTCCAGTCTCTCTGCAAATGAAACTAGGAAGCAGCATGAGAGTCTGATTGCTTGTCGTATGGATTTGTAAATTTGCATTGGTTTTAAAAGATCTAGTTCTGATGACTTACTGCTTTCAATAGCGCTTGTAATAGCTGCGTATCAACAGATTCAATTGCTACTGGATCAAACTTGTACTTGTTAATCAGAAGAGTCTAAAAATACAATAAATTGATTCGGAATCCAATTATTAGAATTTCTTACTCGAGCTGTCGATTCATCGAGCGGTTCACTCGTCAATTGCTTCGCTATCGAAATAATAACAAAAAATTCTTCTCTATCGATTCCTCCGTTTTGATCGATGTCGAAAGTTTGGAACCATTTCTAGAAAAAGAGAAATCGGCAGGCTGCACACAATGCCTCATGCGCCTACAATACATTCCTCTTCTTTTTCAATGTTGAGCCCTTGGCGGGTAAGGAACGCAAAAAGTTGAGGCAAGTTGATCTGCCCGTCCTCATCGTCGTCCATTTCCCTCCATATCGCGTCATTCTGCTCTTTCACGTGGGGTGGGACACCCATAGCCCTGAAAACAAATTGTGGTTACTGTGGGTATTCATTGATTGCAAGAGAACATCATCTATTGACGGGTGTGCCTACTTTGTCGCCAAAATTCGTAAAAATTCTTCTCCCCCAGTATTGATTTCATAAAGAGTTGCTTCGATTCGTAGCGCATCGATGAATCGAGCAATTCTCCTAATCATTTGCGCACGTTGCAATTCCCAGACTTCGGATAAAACTTTCTCCTTCACCATGCCGCACGTCGTCGTTACCAGAACTGAATTCCAGAGAACATGCAGCGAGACTGTTGCCGAAACCGCAACGAGGAACCAAAAAACGAAGAAAGGCCAATACCTGACACGCCAAAGTCGGGACAGAAGAAAATCGTGTGCCATACCCTCCGTCTCCGAACCAAGCTGGCCATTGCGAGTTGATCGTGAAGAGAACTTGCCCCACAGTACACAGAGAAATGAAAACAGCCGCTTGATAGAGAAATTCGAGGGCTAAGGGGACCGCCACGCCAAAGCCAAAACAGGGATTCGTGCTTATTGGGATAACGTGTTTGTAGAACAGACGAATCCAGGGATAACAGCAAATTGTATTTTGATTAACCTGAAGGTCTCGAATTGGACGATGAGATTTGGGACAAACTTACGGTGTATTGTCGATAGATGGGGCCAACATCGTGGAGCTCTTCCAAATTCATTGGGGAGTCAAATAAACTGTGTCGGTAGCGAAAAGATAGATACCCCCATTTTATCGCGAGGAAGAAGTTGACGCTTAATTGTGATAAGCTGAGAACAACAGGAGGACACGCTGAATGGAATCCTCTTGTTGTCAGCTTAACTTACGCGGAATGAAAGAAAAGCGAAAATCCCAATCGGAATTGTTGTCAAAATTAATGAAACGGCAACCATTTGCATTCGTCGAAAATGGGTGAACGGACTGAACAACAACAAGAAGTCATCGGCAATAAGACAATCAGATCGTGACTTACTGAAGCACGAAGACAGTAAAAAAACCAAATAGCAGTAAAGTATTACGGGGGCGGACAATTTTCGTCATTGCTTTGATGAGAGATGATCGGAAATATTCCATGAAATTGAAAAATTCGGGATCAAGGCCTGGAACTGCCATAATTCCAACTTTATCAGCGAACTCAAACCTGCAATTTCACAGATGATGAACAAAATCAAAGATCTGATTCTTACCGAAGACATGCGTAGTTGACTTCCTCTGCAGTGGGATTCAAATCAAGAATTGCATCAAGTGACAACCGATCAGTCTAAAGAGACAGAGGAATCTGGTTAGTTCTAAATTTACCAGACATACGTTTTCGAGCCAGTGAGTGAATCGCCATGCGAAGAAAGCCAATAGAAGCACGAAGGAGAGGTAGGCAGCCAGGAAAAATTGAGTTCTCTGAATCATTTTACCAAACGCTTGCTGAAGCACAGCTTCATCTCCAATATCAAAGATCTCAAACTCCTGAACAGATAAAAACGAATGGATGGGTCAGACGATATTGGGACATACATCCTGAAATTTTGTGAAGATTAATTTTTCCAACTTCCATTCGAAAACGTCAAAATTCAGCAAAACTTCAACGACGACCATCACGAGAGCGACGATTGTAACAGTTCGAAAAATCGTCTCCATGAATTCGCGGATGAAACGATCACGACTCTGATAGACGAAGACGTTGCACTTGAAATCAGAAAAAAACAACCTACAGCAGAAACTCTCAGAGTCAACAATTTGATTGCACTGTTTGCAACAAGGCCCAAAGCGAAAAGAATCGCAGCATAGACGATCATCACCCAGTGCAATCTTCTCTCATACGAACGATAAAGAGCCTTTGTTCTCTCGTCCTCAAAGCACTCAGCGCCATCTAAATCTAAATTGCAATCTTCCTGAAAACCAAAATAATCTCTTGTGAATAATAAATCAATCGCACCTTTTTCTTTGCTTTAGTGTTGGGCGACTCTTGAGCAACGAGTGGCATCAGACTAGAAACGCTGCCCAAAAGGCCTGCGGAAAAAGAAGAATTCAACTCCGTTTTTGAGATTCCTCGGACCCTTTGAAGCCAGCAGTAAGGCACCATCGTCAACACCCTGCGATCTCAAACTTCCTTCTTCTGCGAGAGGCTGATCTTTGTAATAGAAAACTTCATTAGGAACTTGACGAGCATTAGCAACTTTTCTCAGTTCAGGAACATCGTCTTCATAAGTAACTCCAAGAAGCGGTACAATTGTTTCTAAGAGAGCAATTAATTAAATAAATAAATAACATAATAAAATTTACTGTTGGGGAGCAACAATCTGATCGGATGAGAGTTCTGCAGTTGCGACATTCTTGGTGTGACATGAAGAATGTCAATGAGGGATCCAATCGGAACGTCTTGATTTTCGAGCGATTTCATGGGATCCAACTGCTTGCCCTTAAATAGAGCTGAAATTTCATCTGGCTGAACTTCTAGTTCTGGAGCGGCTGATTCAAGCAGTTTAGAAACGACGTCAGAAATCTCAATGTTGTCAACAGGTTTGATACGACCTTCACAAGAAGAAGGAGTCACAATAACAAACCACTACAGAAGACCGAATAGAACTCACCATCAGGGAGTTGAAGGACGACAGTTGGGACTCTCTTCACATCGATGTGGGCGCCGAATGGAATCCCGGCACTTTCGAGTGTCTTGTGGTCCTTTAAAGGAATGTTGTTGTAGAGCAGCTGTTGTTGTGCGGGAAGAAGATTTGAAGTGGATTGAACTTCCGACTTCACATCAAAGATTGTCGAACTATCATGAACAAAAACTTCCATTTGTTGTCCTGAAACATGGAGTCGATTTAAGTGAATTGAGCTAGTGTACCTGAAGGAAGCTCTGCAATGACCCTTGGCTTTGCTTCACAACTGACATTGGCGCCAAAAGGAACATTTTGATCTGCCAGACGGAGATGATCAACAAGTTCTCGAGCCTTATAATTGCAACGAATTCGATCTGGGATTGTTCCCGCCATGAGTTGTAGCTTGTCTTTGACTGTTTGCATCGTGTCAGTGTTGAGACACTGAATGGGAAACACATTTTTTTGTAGACCTGCATTTTGGAGTGTCACCAGAAGGCATGGAAGGCTTTGAAAGTCGAGGATCGCCCCAACACCGACCCCTTGTTCATCCAACGTGTGGTCATCTTGCAAGAGATTTCCATTGTACTTCAATTGTTGACCTTCAGGTTCCACTCCAACCTTCGATTTCAGCAATAATTTGACATCACGGACGGGAGCCGTTGGAGGTGGATCCAAAGGAATCAAAGCACCTAAGTGGCAAAAATGAGTACCTCAAACAAACTGATAAATAATGATCGTACCGTTTGAAGTGCGAATATTCAACACAGGAGCGATGTCCGCATAGATTGTTGATCCGAATGGCACTTGATCATCTTGAAGAGATTTCGTTATTCGCCTGTTCCCATATTTCAGATCAATCTTATATGGAGGCACCCCAAGAACCGATCCAACCATTTTCTGCAGTCGGTCTGCCGGGTCTCGCATTTCAACGTAGAGAGGAAGAACCTTTCCTGCGAGACAATATTCACACAAGGAGGAGGAGTGTTATGTCCTGCGAACCTAGAGGCAGAACTACACGCGCCGCAGGACCTTTTTTTCATCGCCAGGCGTTCATGTTGGGAGACCATTTGTGCTTCAAGCGACTCCATGGGCGAGAGTTTCACATCTTCACGATAAAGGTCAAACTGCGATGCGGGCAATCCAGTAACTTTTTCTACCTTTGAGAGAACTACGGAAGGTGTATCCGCGACTGTGCCCTCAACTTCAATTAGGTCAGCTAGAGGAACAGATAATTAAAATATTCAAAAATTGCACTTACTCGGGGTGTTGATCATTAGCACATGTTTTTCTTTCATTTTTTCTTTTCCTACTCTTCTCTCTTTCGGCAAAAGCGTCACTTTAACAGCTTCGGGGGCATTAGCATAAACATTGCTCCACCATTTCTCGTCCTTGCCATCAGGCATCAATGACTCTCTAGGTGGCAACTCAGCGCTCGGGTCCATATGAATAGTTCCTTCGGGAAGGGATGCTGCAACTACTTTCTCTCCTACTGGCATGGGCATCTTTGGAGGAGCTGACAGTTCATTAACACGATGTTCCCCCAGCCGTACCCCTACCTGAAGTTACATCAGTGGATCCCAACATAAGTGCACCTGAACGTACCGTCTCAACCGCGAACAGGGCCAAAATAAGCACGAAGACTCTCGAAGAATACAGACTCATCTCCACAATTTTGAAGGAGGAATTGGGCAAAACAGAGAAGTAAAGGTGTGGGTGCTGAGTATTTCTTGTTCTGCACACTTCGATGAAAAATACTTCTTGAGGACAAAGTGCCACATGCCAACCTTGGGCCAGATTCTGTATCTAGATAAAATCATTTTTGATTTTTTCTTGTTTCAAAATCGACTGGGTGTAAAATTGCAAGTATTTTCTGATCAATTTTTTTGTTCACGCGGTCAAATTGATGTAGATTAAAATTTTATGCAATAGATGAGAGTTAAAAGAGTTTATGCGGTATATGCAATGAAAAGCGAAAACCTGTACAATAATGCAACAAGTAATGTGTTATGAATGTCTCAATCAAGA